TTCTAGTGACAAACAGCCAAGGCCTCTCCTAGAGCATTTGCTTTGTAAAAATACAAAATAAGTCAGCCTCATTAAGAGGAACTTCCAGGAAGGCCCTTATTTGCAGATCAGTATGAAGTTGAGTTTGGCAAACCTCAGTGCTCATCTAACTCATCCCCACATTTTACAGATGGGGGTGATGGGAGCAGAGAGAGCAAGGAGCTTGCCCCAAGCCCCATGGCCAGAGCTCCAAGTCCTCATAGATCAGGTCAGGCTAGGACAAGTGATGGGTAGCCCATATCCCCCAGACTTCTGTGACTACAACTGCAGCTTTGTACACCATACATCCATCACAGGCTGGCTGCAGCTCTGTTCTACGTCATCTTCACACCAGGACCCAGGTGCATGGATGAGTCTCCACCTGGAGGTGGCCAATGCTGGGCCAGGGGGAGGACAAATGGACCACATGCTGGCTCTTACTTAGAGTATCTGTCTTGAGATACACATCACCTATACCCACCGGTCATGAATGACATCTGAGCTCAACAGTGCTAGGATGTACAATCCTACTGTGGGGAGAGAGGACAGAAGTTTTGGCAGAGACATCCACTCCGTCAGGGACGCTCAGCTAGCTACTGCTGGTGTGTCGGGACAGAAAGGTAGGTTCAAATGTGCAAGGACACACATGTTCTAAAAACAAAAAAATTCAAAGAAATGCTCCAACAAATTTGAAGCAAATCAAAATAAAGAACTCAGGAATAAGTATATAAGAAACAGGCAAACAATGAAGCTGGTAAAAAGGGAATTGAACCAAAATATTTTTGATAACATAATTGAAGTTTAATGTCACCATTAAAAGGTCCTTGAGATAGAGGCATATGTGAAAAGTTTGTAATTCTGAACTGTATTCTAGATGTTTCAGCAAAACCCAGGAGACAGGTGATGTGCGCATGTGCACACGCTTGTAGGAAAAAGGGCAGAAATCTGACATTCTGCTGAGTTTCTTATTCAGGGAGAAAGGAGGCCTTAAACAAGCACTATTGAGAGAAATATTTTTAAAAAATTGTCAGTGGATAACTGATATCCACCAATATCAGCAATACTGATAACATAGAAACAAGAGGTTGAATGCTAAATTTACTACAGGGGAAAATTTTAATCAAGCAATTAAGGAGGAAAAAAAATTAGAGACTAGGAAAATGAACTAAACGGCAAATAATATTGGAACAGTGATCACAATTAACAAGTTAAATTCACCTATTGACTTTCCAGATTGCACTAAAAAAAAAAAAATTCTAGCCATGTGTTTACAAGCCACCCACCTAAACTTAAGTGACAGAGAAAAAGGATTTAACATTCAAAACAAAAAGCACCAAATAGGATACCAAAGCTAATTTATGTTGATGAGGAAATAACTTTCATGAGCTTTTTCAAACTAAGCAACATAACTGAAACTTATAAAAGCTGTTATGAAAAACTAGAAAACATGACAATACCAGAATCATTTAATGTGCTTTTTTTAAAACGGACAGACAGTACAGGCAAAAAAAAAAAAAAAAGGTAGAGGGATGGGGCAAAAAAAGAAAAACATTAGATATGAATAATTTATAAACCCAATTTAATAGATTACATAAAGCTTTGTACCAAACCAACAAATACGCATTCTTTTCAAACGTCGGTAGAACATTGACTATGATCCCTTCCCACCAAAAATCATTGTGAAATTCATCTGGAAAATTTGCAAAAAACTCTAGAACGTTTTGAATAAGAGAAGGAAGAACACATATAAGCCTGTTAGTATTTGTGCGATGGTGATCGAAGTAGCCTCGTCCTGTGCTGTCCAGTTTGGTTGTCCCAGATCATCTGTGAGCTGTGGTTAGGTACTCTGAAAAGTGAAAGGCTGAAGTGTAAACTATACACAGCGGATTTCAAAGACTTACTATTGTAAAATAGCATATATATATATGTATATGTATATATATATATATACATATACATATATATATATATACACACACACACATTTAGTTGAGCCATCCTGCCACCTGTTGGCAGCTCAGCAGCAGCTCAGCTCGGGCCGGGACTTGAACCGCTGTTACTCAGAGCTTGCACTCTTGAGAGAGCTCTTAATCAACTGAGCCACTTGGCCAGCCTCTCATTAATATTTTTAACATCCATTATATGTTGAAATGAGATATTGGGTTACATAAACTATTATTAAATTAATTTCTCCTTTTTCCTAGAAAATTTTAAATCACACATGTGGCCCATGGCTTTCTATCGAACAGCACTGGTCTAGAAACAGACCCAGGGTCTCTGTTTTCTCCCCATACCCTTTATGACATTTTCCAGTGGAGACTTGTTTTCCTTTTAGATCATTATAGGTTAAAAATGTTCACCCTTTTGGCCTAGATGCTGTAAATTTCTCCTGGCTTTGTTTAATTACTTAAATTTTAACTTTTTTTATAAAAGCAACATGGTTGATCTCTCCTGTCCTAGAGTTTTTCTCATTCTAAGTTTCAAAACTTTCCTAGGGGCACACTTAACCACAGTGGCATTTATCTGGGGAGATGGCACAGGGCACAGGCATCCCCTCGTTGGTTCAGAGGAGCCATGGTTAAGAGGATGTGGCATGGGCAAAACCTGGCTGAGTCTCAGATCCACGCCTTCCCAAAGCCGCTCAAGTCACCACCTCCTATCTCCAGGGTCCGACTCACTGGTTGTCTTGAGGACAAGTATTACCTATAAAACAGCAGCAATGGACACGGTAAGCACTCCCTAACTCTGGCTACTGATCTTGTTTTATCTGAATTCTGTGATGGTTAGTGATACCTGTAAGTGGCATAACTGAGTCTGTGTGAGGTGTGGCCAGAACCCAGCCTCCATGCTGACACCCTACTAAGACCAGCCACCCCTCCCGTACCTGGCAGGGCCCCAAGGACCAGAGGGGAAGTTGTGCACACACACACCTGAAGTGAGAACAGGCTGGAAGCTTGAGCCTCCTGTGTCCAGCATCCCACCTGTCTCCCCCACACCCCAGGCAGATTGCCCAATCTCGCTCCAGAGCCAGCTTTTCTCGTGAGTTTCCAAACTCACACTGGATGGCCCACAGATAATTCAAAGAACAAGTCTACAATGTACTTGCCTGGAATGGGGGAACTAGACCTCTGTAAATCTGCTCCTCCATAAAAGCAACATGATTCCTGGCAAAACGGTCCAAATCAACTTTTCAGAACTCTAGAAATTAGTCAAGGGCCTACAACTATCTGAGAACTGTATGCAAAGAGTACATGCCCTTCACCAACCTCCAACTGGCTTCTTCCCATGAACCAAACCTTGTTTAATGGACCATCCCAGAAGGCTCAGAGACCTCAGAGACACCAGGGCAGCCCACCCCCTCATTCCCACTGCTCCCTCCATTTTAAGCTTTATCCAAGGATCCTGACTGCATCACTTGTCACCCAGGAGCCATCCCAGAGGAAGCCGCTGTCTATCGGGACCATCCTCTGGCTTTGGTCTCTCTGCTCATCCACCTCCCTCATCCTCCGCCCGGCACCAGAATTGTGTGGTTCCCCCTTCATTAAAACCCTTCGATGACTCCCAAAGATAAAAGCCAAGTCTGTACACCACTAGGCTTTGCGAGCTCTCTCCAAACTAGCTTGAAGGCTCCCATACGCCTTTTCCCGCTCCAGCGATGCAAGCTACTCTAAAAACGCTGAGAGTGGGTGTAACATGACTTGGCTGAAGTCACACCCAATTACGACAGGGACTTGGGCTGCCGGCAGCTAAGACTGCCTGTTAGCTCGCTGCAGGCCAGCTCTGCACAAGCAGGGAAGGTTTCCATGATTTCGCTTCGTTGCCTTATGAGGTTGGTATCATTCATTATCTGATCCTACAGATGAGGGACACGAGGCTTTCAACTACTTGTTACCCACAGCTCTGTGGAAGGACTACTTCAGTGTGAAGAACCTTCGGACCATCTCAGCTCTCTAGGGACCCCTGGAGAGTTGGGCAGGTTTGGAGGTTGAGAGGCCTAGGCTACCGGGCCTGAGCCTGCCTTTAACAGAAAGGGCTAAGTCAGTATTTAGTATCTGCTCTCACCATGTAAACGTATGTATGTTTTATATCACTCTTACCACTGTGGCAAATTAAATAACTTCATAGCTCTATTAAAGAATGTACAACCAAAGAGTTTTGGAACCAGTGCTTTAAACTCAAGCCTGGCGATTAGAGATATTCACTGGGGGAAGCCAGAGGAAGCTCCGCTGCCACCTTGTGGGGCAAGGAGGGAGAAAGGCCAGATGGAAATTTCTGGCAAACTATTTTCAAAGAGCCATGGGTCTCCTTTAGAAGGACTGTCCAGCCCACCACACTCACCACAGGCCTCTTCACTTCCCAAACTTTTCCACCATGGAAAAATGAACTCCAAGCTTTATCTATAGTGTATACAACTCAAGATTTATATAAGCTTAAGTTACTTATTTTATTATTTTTTTTAAAGATTTTATTGGGGAATTGGGGGGAGGGGAACAGAGTTGGGGAATCTGGGAAGGGGAACAGACAAGTTGCTGTCCTTTTTTTGTTCTTCAGTCTAGTTGTGGAGGACGTCATTTCACTGGCCCATGTTTATATTATCATTGCACTCTTCCCGGGTGAGGCAGTCGTTTGCTGGCCATTGGACAGCTACTCATGGTAGCTCACACCAGCTGCCGGCTGCTCACACTGGCTACCAGCCACTCACAGTAGCTCATGGAAGCCCACTGCAGCAGGGGCTGCAGCCTACACCGTTGCCAGTGACTCACAGGAGCCCAGCTACAGGCTGAGCTGTTGTTTACCATCTTAGCTGTAGGGCGCAGGTCACCGGCCCTCATGTGGGATCCGAACTGGGGCCCTGATGCTCAGAGCTGGCATCCCAAGCCAACTCTTAACCAACGCACCACTCGGCTGGCCCTTAAGTTACTTATTTTAAGTTGTACAATGCTGGAACCAGTCTAAAAAAAGAATCAACACACCACTGCAAGGTAATTCAATGAGTTGCTTTTTTTTTTTTTTAAACAAATTTGTACAGAAAAAAAAAAAATTCCCGGATCGCAATCTATACCATACAGTCACCCTGCTCAGTATGCAGGATGCCTCAGGACCCGCCGCAGGAGCTGGGATGGGCAGCTGGACTCTGCGGAGGTAACTTCTGCTCACAGATGACGGGGTGTGGAAAAAATCTTGAGTTCCCTTTGTTCTCCAGTGTGTCTTGTACAAAATATTACATTTTTTTAAACATATATTTACAGTTTGCACAAATAGAAAAGGGTTACAAATTACAACCAGGCTTGGCAAGATAACAGTTCCCTCCCCCCACTGACCAAAGCCAGAGGTTTGATTGCTTTGTATTTACATATGCATTAAAAAGTTTGCCTTCTTAAGAGACCTAGGTGAAGTTTATAAAAACTGGCTAAAGAGCATAAATTCATTTATGTAAGCTGTACAAGTAATCGATACCAATTAGTCAGTTCATGTTTGCTCCCTGAAGGAAGACTTGGAAGCAAAAGAAACCCTCTCAAGCAAGCAACACATCCCTTGGCATGTTGGCTACAGTTGGTTTGGTTTGGTTTGGGGTGGGGGAGGAAGTGGGAAGTGGAAAGGAGGGGGACTAGGAAAGCCTGGTGCGGATAGTTTATCTTCCACTTTTCTTTTTTTTTTTTAACAGCTTAGAACCAGGTTTAAGCCAACAGGCTTGTTAAAACACCATCTATGGCTTTGAAAAGAACCCACAGCTCCTTGTCTCCGAGACGAAACATCTTCTCAACACGACCACAACATGGAAAAAAAACAACTTTCTGAGGAAGACGTTTGTTATTCTGATGTAAAGTCTTTGCCTTGAGTGCCAAGCCCAATTTCAACAGTGCAAAAAAAGATTCAAGTGGCTGTGGGGGCCGGGGGTCAGAGGCTCGTGTAGTAGCTGTCTACCCACTGAGCAAGTCCTCGCTCCACCAGTGACCGGTTTATCAACACCACCTAGAAAAGAAAGTGTCCTTGAGAGCTTTGCCCGCGGCACCCAGGGGCTATTTCTCAAGCCAGCCTGGGTTCTCCCTCCTACAGTCCCAGTCCACCACTGCAGCCAACAGGTACAGGGTAATGGAGGTAGGGGGCACGACTCATGTCCTGGGCCAACGGGAGCGTTTACTTATATGTTCTACTGGCATGAGGACAAGCTTTTCACTATGCCAAAGAAATCGAAGCTTTGATACCATGAGATGGAAGAGAGCAAAACTCAATGGACAGAAGGTTCAGGAAGGTCTGGACAAAGTCCAGGGAGGCCCATTGACATTTTGGGCCATGTAATTCTTTGTGGGGACTGTCTTGCGCATTGTAGGATGTTTAGCAGCATCCCTGGTCTCTACCCACTCGATGACACTAGCATCACCACTCCCAATTATGTCAACCACAAAGGTCTCCAGGCATCGCTAAGCGTCCCCTGGGGGTGAGTGGTCTATAGTCACATCCTCTGATTAGCTCAAGAGGAAACAATCAATGCCGGCACCAGCTCCAAATCGACCAAGACTGCTGGCCAGTCACTTACAAGGAAAAGAAGGACACAACTTACTTCATCTCCAACCACACTCCATAGCTGAATCAGAGGGAGGCCAGCCGGACTATAATTTGTCACCTGAAAACAACACAAAACAAAAAGCATGTTTAAAAGTTATCCCATTCAAAAAAAAAAAAATTTACTCCAGGCACCTCTCCTTAGAGACTGCTGGCCAACCCACGCCAGGAGCGCGACAGGAATGCAGGCATTTAAAGGTCAGTTCCCAGGAAGCCCAGATGAGGCCGGAAGGTGCTACACAAGCCGGAAAGGAGGCTCCTCAGACAGACCTGGATAGACAGGCCTGCCCCGCCGCCCACCCACCAGCCACACACCTGAGCCAGCAGTGCTGTATTTCCTGTCATCTCGCTCATAGCTGCATCTGCTTCAGGGGAGAAGTGGTCATCATCTTTAGAAGGAGAAAGAAAAGCAGCCTTTAGACTCTCACTGAAGCAAGGTACTCTTGCCATTTACACCACTTCCAGGTGTTTTCCAAGTAAAAGGCCTAAGATGCTGCCACGGGACTTGAGAACCTCATTTGGGAGAGCCACCTCCATCAGGAACAGAGCCCAGGCCTCTACATACACTCAGGATCCCTGTTATGTACTACCCACAGGGAAACAGAGGACCAAAATGACAGAAACTCTGCCTTCACTGGGCACATCACCACCACCACCTATTTGGGGCTGACTGGGCTGAGCACGTTCTTCCACTGAATCAGTAACACCCTACAAGATGGCAGGTAAGAATGCAGGAGACAAAAGTGGATGGCCAAAGCTCAACCAGTTCCCAGAGTGGTACAGGTGGAATTCAAACCCAGGCAGTTGGCCACACAGCCCGATACGGGCAGTCACTCCATAGCGGGCAGGGCACTGAGGCAGCATTCTTCATCAGATTATAAAAGTTACGTACAAGAACACACCCAAGGCAAAAGATGGTAAGGATGGGAGAGGCAGGTTTACGAAGGTCTGGGAACATCTTATGGAAGAGGGAGCGTTTCAGCTGGGCCTGGACAGACTGTTGAGATGGACAGAAATGGAGGAAGGTTGGGCAAGAGCAATAAGGGAAAACAAAATGAAGCCCCTGCCCAGCATTTGACCGCAGCTAGACCAGCGGTTCTCAACCTGTGGGTCGCGACCCCTTTGGGGGTCAAATGACCCTTTCACAGGGGTCGCCTAAGACCATCGGAAAACAAACAGATATTGACATTACGATTCATAACGTAGCAAAATTACAGTTATAGAGTAGCAACGAAAATAATTTGATGGTTGGGGGTCACCACAACATGAGGAACTGTATTAAGGGGTCGCGGCATTAGGAAGGTTGAGAACCGCTGAGCTAGACTACAGTACTTCTAAAGCATTGCACTGCTTTAGACAAGAACGAGATTAGAAAGGGAAAACCTGAGGAGGAAGGAGATGGAATCAATGAACTAGTACCCACAAAGATAAAACTCCTGGTCCTAAGTAGCTGCAACTTGACCGATGTCCCCATCTCAGTGCCTGGGTTTATGTAATTCCCTTGGCCACCCTGAAGACAGGTACTACCCCATTTTCAAGAGGGGGGAAATCAAGGTTAAGTGCCAGTCTCCTTCCCTCTGGCGACGTGATCACAGTCAGGGACACCACTCAGGTGAGTGTTAGTGTGGTCCCCACAGCACCCCCAGGAGCTGAGGCCCCGCTGAGCACTGCCGGGGGCCTCAATGCCTGCCCTCCACCAGGGTGCTAGGACTGTGGGTCTCCACTATGTATTGGAAGGCACCTGTGTTGGAAGCCTCTCTAAGTTGGTGGTCTGGATAAAGTCTACAGCAGTGGTCCTAAAAGGTGATCCATGGACCAGCAGTATTAGCATCACCTGAGAACTGAGAAATATAAGTTCTCAGGCCTCAGCCCAAACCTATCCATCAGTCAGAAACGGACAGTGATAACAATCCACGTTAACACAAGCCCTCCTCCAGGCGAGAATGAGGCTGTCAAAGAGAAAGACCTACTCTCAACAACTGCCCCCCCACCCCACCTTCTAGCCAGAGACCCCCAGCTGTTACCTGACAAAGGCATCACACTGTCCAGAAGGACTTCCGCTCCCTGGAATGGCAGGGTCACAAAGTCAGACCTACAAAAACAAGAAAGGAACATGTTGAACATGAACTTGAAGGCTGACTCCACTCCTGCTTAGTGCCATGACGCCTGCAACCCAGGAGGAAACAAAGCAGAGATGGGCAGCAGGCCTCAGCTCCCCTCAGCTCCCCTCACACCTGCATGCAGGCCACCTACCCTGCTGCAAGCCTGACCTCAAAGGGACTTCTTGCATCAAACTCCAAAAAAGAGGCCTGCTTCACTTCTGTCATATGACACATGGGGGAACTCTTCCCTAAGACAAGGCCTCTCTAGCTCCGTTTGGCTGAGGGCAAGCAACAGAATTTGTTTATATCAGACTCTGCTAAAGCAGAGCAGGCAGCAGAAGGAAGAATTCAGCCATGTCCCAGGCTTGGTAGAACTGTGCCAGCTATGCAGAAATCACAGTCCCCTCACAAGCAAGGGGTGCGCTTGTCGGAGGAGCCTCGACTCACCGGATTTGCCGGAGCACGTCTACTTTCACTCTCTTATATCCACCGTAGTCCACGTAGCGAATCTCCACTTCGTTGGTCTCCTCATAGGAGGCCACCACTTGGGCTCGCCACCAGGCACCATCCACGCCGGGGGCAGCGCAGATGACCGTTACTGCAGGGCAGGAAGAGAGCGTGTGGACAAGCCTGGCCCATGGCTGGGCACCAACAGCTACGCAATTAACGATACCCACCTCCCTACATTCCTTCTCAGAGGCCTGTACCTCCACACCACAGGGGATGGGAACAGCAAGGAATCCCCAAAGTCTCCCCAGAGCCTAAGACTGGCCAACAGAGGGACCAAAGCTGGGAAATTCAGCCCAGCACGTGTGCCACCCACAAAACTATCCAGACCGAAGGGCATTCATTTAGATCTGTTTACTCTGGAACTTACTGAAGCCTGAGATGAACACGGATTAACTGAAACAAAAAATAAAATACAAAATTCAGGGAATGGGGACTTATACTCTTAAGGGAAAGTCCTAGAAGGACTCAAGGACCTCCAAGTGCAGCAGATCTCAGTGGCTTGGTATCTGGAGTCTGCTTTAGCCCATGACAACTCAGATCTGGGGCTGATCAGAAGGGGGCTCCCAGGTCTAAACCCCACTGCTTCTCCCTTTTGCTGAGGCACAGATGCCCTGAGCAGCCAATAAGGCCAGAGAGCAAGTGCCCCAATAGTCCCCAACCCCACTCTGGAGAGGCAGGGGTGGGACAGATTGAATCATGGGGAGGTCACCCAGAAGAACCCATGGCAGCTACCCCAGGCCGGCTGGGATGAGGGCCTATGACACAGCCAGCCACACTGTGTCTTGACCCTTAAAAGCAGCCCCTGGTGCAGTGACCTCTTGGCCTCCAGTTTGGTCTTTCCTGCTGGGTTGAGGGAACATTAGAGAATCTGACAAAAACTAAAAGCCTTATTCCTCCAAAAGAAAAACCATACAAAATGCTGCAGCTAATTTCAAAGGTTTTCCTAATGCTTGGAAGCCCATTGGAGGACTGTAGGTTTGGAGTCCTTGACGGGGGTGGGTGGAGAGATGTTCTGACATTCGATTCCAGCTAACAGGGCAACACAGATAATAGTGATGAAGAACCGGCTCAAGGTTCCAGCTGAGTTCAGATCCCACCTCCTGCTCAGGCATCACGTGGGCAAGTCACATGACTTCAGAGGCTCAGTTTTCTCTTCCATCAAATGGAGATGACCCAACCCACTGCAGGGGTTTGATGCACCCGGGGAGCTTCTATAGGACCCTGATCTACATCAGGAACCTTACATATAACACATATAGTATCCAATCCCGATTCCTGGAACAAGTGGGCATCAGCTCCATTCAACAGGTAAGGGGCAGAGCTGGGCTGTGCATCCATATGCCAAAACTCTACTCCAACCCCATGGCTCCACCAGCCACAGGAAACAGCAGCTTGAGCTGGCCAGGCAACTCAGCCCAGAGGAACTCTATGCCAACAGCAAGAACTCCAGGTCCCATGAAGGATCCTACAACAGCCTCTTCCTGGTCAAGACTGAGGACAGAACAAGCCACCCCCAGGACTTCTCCCACTGGCCTGGCCAGAGCCCCCAGCACAAGCACTTACTTTCCACTGGGGTGGGCAGGGTGGGGATTCCGGGCTGAGAGTAGCAGAGGTACATCTGCTGGTCCAGGCTGCGCAGGGCATGGAAGGTAGGGTGTGTGTGCTGCTGCACAAACAGGTGCCCGGCATTGACCTGGTTGACCACAATCACCTCCACGGTGATGCCATCCGGGAGCATGAGCTGTAGAGGAGGGGAGGGGCAGCGAGCACTGCAGCAATCCTTCTCATGTTTACGTTAAGCCCCCAGGCCCCAGGGCAAGTCTCTGAACTGGCACAGCTTTGGAAAGAACATGGCATCCAGATGGCAGGGGTTCAAGGAAAACTGACTTTAGTATGGGAAGTGTTTTTCCGTACCACTGTGGGCCTTCCTGCCATGCCGTGAGAACCACTAGAGGTGGCCTCACTCAGGGCTGGACAGGACTCCTGGCTCCCAGGAGCTAGCTGTCGAGGTAGTGCTGGGCCTCAGTGACCTGGACAGCATCCATCCGCCAGAGCTTCCCCTCCCCAAGCCTCTCCTGACTCTGTAAGACCCAGGGACGGCAACCGGAAATGAAGTGGCCACTAAGAACAAGGTGTACAGGCCCTCAGCCAGCTCCTTGGGCCTGCAACTGATGCCAGGGGTTTAAGGTTTGACAGCATCTCTCTCCTCTGCCTTCCTACCAGGAAGGGTCCACAGTTAAGGTCTGCAACAGTCTCACGCTGTCATATTTGCTATTTTTACGCTCTACCGACATCCTCCCAACTCATTCCCACTCTGGGATTTGGAATACAGGTGTGCTCAGTGGCCAGGCACCACATTACAGGCCCTAGAAAGGCCAAGACTGGTCTTTAAGGAGCTGTCCTTAGACACCTGATGCTAAGCTACAGGAAGCATGTTAAGTGCTCTGGACACAGCAAAGCATCTAGTCCACCTTCCAGCCAGACAGGCCCAAGAAGAGTCCTGGCCTCCATCCCTCCCTCAGAGCCGTGAGGTGAGAGGCCTCTGGGGTCTCCTCTCCAGTCCCACCGAGCCGCGCAGAGAACAAGGGAAGGAAGCCATACCAACCACTCAATTATTTAAAAATAAAGAGTGGGCCTGGGGCTACACTTCCTGTGGAAAACTCTGGTTCAGAAGTGAAACATGGAGTAGGCTTCAGCTTCTGTGGGAAAGGGAAAGGGCAAATGCCTTTTACATAAAGGGTGCCCAGGAGGCAGAACCAAGGGAGAGTGTGGTCCTTCCAACAGGGACTGAGAGGCCTCTGGCTCCCTACCAGCACTCCAGCTCTAGCCTGACCTTTCCCCAGAGGACCCAGGCTGGAAGCAGAACTGACCAGTGGACGCCAGCAGTGAGAGGGCCAGGCATCAATGAGCCCTCGGCCTTCGAGAAGCCATGGTCTTGGGAGTTTCTTTGGGGCAGGTTGAGGGCAAAGGGGCACAAAAAGTCCTGATCCCCCAGGAGCATGCTCACCCAGGAAGTCATTGGAAGAGAAGGCAGGGCCAGTGACGGCAGTGGGGGTGCGTAGATATTGGTGAGGTTCAGTTCCTTGAACTTCTTCCCAATCAAGTTCAGGGCCTTGTCTACATGATGCTGAGAGCCTACAGGAAGGTTAAAGCAGGACCCAGTCACAGTGAGTAAGACAAGCACAGCAAAACCAGACTCACACACACGCTCATCCCCAAAGGACTCTTTCTAGAGTTCAAGTGTATCTTTAAGGTGCCAAAATGATAAGTTTTGCCTTAGGAAGAAAGGCATCTAAAGCGACTTGAAACCCACTGACCTTTCAAATAACACCTGTGCTTTGAATACAGTAAGAGGCTAGCAGATGGGAAAGGCCTGGCCCTCAACACCCACACCAGAGGGGTAGCTCACTCCTGCGCTGTGAGGGAGCCGGTGGGTTGGCGGGCACTACAAACCCAGGACCCCGGCCCAGCCAGCTGAGCGCCCATGCCTCTCCTGGATCTGGGGAGAAACCCACTTCTCCTTCAAGCACCTGAACTGGAGATGAGGGGTGAAGGGAAGATACCCAAAGCTCCCTTCGCCTGAGGTGAGCAGGGTTTTCTCCTCAGGGATTTGGATTCCGAAAGAGGAGCAACTGGGACTCAGATACGTCAATGTCTTACATTTCAGGTAAGAAAACAAGACCCAGGGCAGCAGCGGCCACTGACCTTCTATGTGGCAGACCTGAACATTCTGGGTGTAAGGCAGGGTTGAGATGTAGATCTTGGCACCAGATGTTTGCTTCAGAAAACTCACATACCGCCCCTGCTTGCCAATTAGCCGACCAACTAAGTGCTGAGAGAGAGAAAGAGAGAGATATGGTCAATGGGAAATCAATACCCTACTCTCCCCAAAACCTACCTGTATTACACAAGATCAAACTCAAACATATTAACTGTTAACACATCAGAACTCATTTGCCAGGCACTATTCTAAGCGCCTGAATTTATTCATAGTGCTTTTGAAATGGATATCTTTATCACCATTTTATAGATGAGGAAAACAAGCCCAGAGAGGCTAAGTAACTCACCCAACATCACACAGCTAAGTAATTGAGCTACACAGTCTAGCTTCAGGACTCAGTGGTTCCCATGGCATCCCTGACAATGTGACCCACATCCAGAAAGCTGCAAAGGCAGCATTTTCTCCTCCCAAATCCACACTATGAGATATTTTACTAGCACAAGGGTCAATCCACTTCTTCAAGTCTACTCAGGATTGAAGATAAAAGGGGCTCGATTTGAAAATACAGGTCTAAGAAAGAACCCTTGGGCTCCTACTGCCAACTGGCAGCAGGCTGGAGCCTTCAGAATTCGAGGCTCGCAGAAGCGCCCAGCATGCCATAGTTCAAGGCAGACAGAAGCAGCCAAACTTAGCCATGATGTAAGACAAGCTCTGAATCAATCCCAAAGGACCCCACCCCCATGGAGCTACTAAAGACATGGTCCCCTCCGCACCCAGAGCTGCCTGGGTATGCCCTTTGCATCCGCTGAAGGAGAAGAGGGCAGGATGGCTTTCGGGGTCACTGGGGGAAGAAGCAACCGAGGGAGCCAGCACCCCAGGTCAGGCAGCCGGCTTGACCCAGAGTTCAAACCAAGCCAAGTCTCCATACGGCACGAAGCTAAGTGCCCTGGGAGAATGCAGTCAGCCAATTATTTCTGAGCCCCAGAGATAAATATCAGGACCCAGCTAATAAGTTGTAAGTTAGAACAGCAAGAAGCTAGAAACCACTTAAGCACCCTGGAATTGGGGACTGGTGAAGCAAATTGACATTCACACAATGAATAATGCAGTTAAAATTACATTTTCAAAGAATAGCACAGGAAAATTAAATTGTTAAAATATTTAAAAGCATTAATTAAAGCAACATAATCTCAGTTTTGTTTAAAAACCACAGGGTGCGAGACAAGAAGGAAATAAAAGTCTTCGCAGTCACTCTCGGGGGTAGGATTAAAGCTGATTTTTATTTTCTTCATGTATTTCTATACCTCTTGAGTTCTCTAAAATATGGATTTATGCTGTGCTCAACTATAAAATACTTCGCATTGGCGAGCCTGAGCAGAGCTCAGCAAAGGGACCTCCGGCTGTCCCATGTCCTCAGTCTGATTTCGCGAGCATCTCCAAACAGATCTGAGCTCTGGGACACACAAGAAAAGCCCAGGGGAGGTGAGCAGGCCTGGGAGCTTGAAGAGGACGAGAAGAGGATGCTCCCGGAGGCAGCTGCAGGAATTCCATTTTGCGGGAACCTCTGGGAACCTTGGCAAAGTGAGGCGTTTCCTTTCCCTCCAGCCTCTGGCTCACTGAGGGGTTTCTCCTGGTTGACCGTGCCGCCCCGGGAGCCCTCCCCCTAAGCCCGATGACCCTGGGCCAGGGAGCACTTTGAGTTTGCAGCCCTTACCTTTGGCACCTCAATCTCCCAGATGATGAGGTCAACCTTCTTAGGGTTGGAGCCTGCCTGGGCATTCTGGAAGCCATCAGTCTTCCTGAGGCCACAGCAGCCATCCACAGAATCCATGCTGTTCCCGTCTGAACCTGCAGGGGAGGAAGCAGCACGCATGGAGACACCCAGACACTGGCTCAGAGCAGTTAATAACCTACGACTCCCAAACTCACATATCTGGGAGGCCCTCTGCCCCCACCCCTCCTCAAGCCTGGCAGGTGACTGTCAATTAGCAGTTTAGAAGGGCTCAGAACAACCCCAATGAAAGGAGGGCTGGGGGTGTAGATACACCTAATTTTAGCCTGTCACTTACCGTCCCACTTGCTTACTTGGCAGCTGCACCCAGCCACAGCTGCTGGAGCAGATAAGTGGTGAACTGGGAAGAAACAGACGCTGGCCCATGGGGCAGGGGAGGGGTCCGGGCCAACAGGTTCACATGGTCCCAGGAGAGTGCAGGCCTCCACGGAGACAGAGACCGACCGGTCACAACCAGTCCACATCCTTCCAGGTATGCCAGCCCCTCAGACCACGGGTCCCTAGACCCCAAAGCCCCAGGCCTGGGCTCACAGGAGATGGCCTTTGGCCAAGCAGAGCTAGAAAGAGTCTTCTCTCACTGGTTTGTCCTAGGGCCCCATTCTTATTCCCAATCAATCAGGGTCCTGCCAGAAGTGGACGAAGGAAGGGGACCATCCTTTCCCTCTGCTTAGGCCGGACTTATCCAACTCTGAAAGCTCTTCTGGGCTCGTGGCGGGTCTTTAAGCCCCTGGCTGAAGCTCACTCCCAAGAGGACAGTAAGCAGCAGGGCTTTGGCACCAACGCTGCTCCACTCTCGATCAAGAGTGTGCCAAGGGGGCCACTGCAGAAAAACGGGGGTCGAGACCAGCTTAAGAGAAGTGGCTCTGGCTTAAATATGGACAACTCAATTGCCAGAAATAGACCACTCCTGAGATTCTACTAATTAGGTTATCTGGCACATGTTTTCTGCAAACCGTGGGCATAATCATTTACCAAGCAACCCATGATGTAGAAGAGTAACGCTTACGAGAGTCCCTCCCAGCTGAGGAAGAGTCACCTTCAAAGTGACCTCCCTCAACATGGGGGCCCTCAGCCTCTGCCCAATGGAGCAGGATTGGATGGTACCTGCCACCCCAATGACACCCATAGGTGGCTCAGACCACACCAGGACCCTAGCAGGCTACACTCAAAGGTCAGCTTCCAGCTTCCTCAGCGGGGCCCTCACTGGCCTTCTCTAAGCTTCAACTCCCTCTGCACAAGGCAGGGCTACCGTTGAGAATGCATGGAAGGCACAAGCCTGGGGCTTGGCACAGCCAAGTGCTTGGTGAGTGGTACTACCAGGCCTCCATCTGCCGTTCCCATGCCTCCCCCCCCAACCACCACAGCTCCGTCACCACCTCCTCTTCGGCGAGGCCTCAACTCAGAAGCCTTCAACACATCTGAGTGCTGCTACTGTCAATCCAGAGTTGGCTTGACAAGGTCGAGGGCTTGTTAATTAACCTAAAAGGCAACAAGCAAAGGGAAACCCCTTTATTCTTAAAAGATATTCACCCATTTTAAGATGCCTTTAGGAAAACAAACAAAAAACATTTTAACATCTCTGAAGTTGGGGTGTACCTTATAGTCTCTGGCCTTCTGCACTCATGACTGGCAGCATTTTTTTTTCTTTTAGAGGTACATAAAAAACAGTAGTGTCTGAATTGATAGCCTTTTAGAGGTGACAAAACATTGTGTGTGGTACCCACCAGGTGCTGCTCCAAGTAGCAGAATTCCCACAAAAGATTCCTAACCATCCTGGGACTGAAACGGTAGGGAATGGCTCCAGGACAAGCAAGTCAGAGACCAAAGCAGGGACTTTATGGTCTCTTTGCATGAAATAAATGAAAAGATCCTGGGGTAGCTGCAAAAGCAGGGTCAGGAGCTGCTGACTTGAAGTTAGTGACCTGAACTGTCTATGCTGGGGTCAGCGCTCGAAAAACCCAGGGGACACTTCGTTACCAAAGTGTCCCTATTTCCTGGTAGAACTGCAGCTGCACAGACAGAAAATGGCTGAGGCGCTCTGCAAAGGAGTGTAGGTGACAGCCACCATGCAGGAGAAAGCGAGCGCCTCCCCCAAGGATGCAAAGCTGAGGCCATTCTCTGGACACTTACCAGGAGAAAGCTTCTGCAGAAGGAAAGCAGGTGAACTCATGGGAACAAGTACATGATTAAAAGAAAATAAACCATTAAAAAAAGCTTACACCCATTCTTGGTACTCAAGGGAATTAAAGCTAAGGAGGCCTCTCTCCATTAAAATAAATAAATAAATAAAAGGTTAGTGTTTAAAAGAGGCACACTTAGGTTAATCAGTGAACCCAACTTGGATGGGCTGGGGAGGGTCACTAGCTGCCAAACCAAGTTTCAGCTCCCATGGCTTTGGGGTTCTGGGCAGCCTAACTTTTCAGGAACCTGCCAGCTCTAGGCTGTGCCCCGACTCTCTGCAGGCCGGCTGGAACACAGAGTTCAAGAGTACCATTAACGCAGAGGTGGCAGAGGGAGAGGCAGTCAAGAGCCTTTCCTACTGAAAAAAGGAAGACCCCCCTGGTCTTCTATGTGAGGAACGCCCAAGACCCTCCTACCTCCCGAATGATCTGCTTCCGCATCCATGGTCCATCCATCCTCAGTCCCCAAGTCTGACAATTCCCCCTTCAGCACCCCATTGCTAAACGGCACAGTACTTTCTGGCAGCGGCAAGGTGGTAGCTTTGTCCCTGGGGCTTGAGTTGGTCTCTGTACAAGAGTCTTCAAGCCCTGAAGTACTGACGGAATCAGAGCACTGCCCGGAAGAGGCCACTGAAGGGACACCCTGGCTGTTGTCAGACACGCAGGCATCTTCCATCAGGACCCTTGCGTTATCCAGTGACTCTCCAAGGGGGGCAGCCGGTGGTGGGCAGGGGGCCAGGGAGATATGGTGCACGGAGTTCTTTGGTTTCCTCTCCTTGGTGGGGCTGGACAGAGGGCTGGTCAGGCAGCTCACGTAGGTCTTTGGTGGCGGCAGGTCCTCGGCTGGCAGGCCTGGCGAGGTGGGGGCAGCGTGTGACGGACCCACGGCTGCCTCCGCTGTGGCCAGAGTGGGCTCTGCAGCATCTTGCGCTAGGGCCACTTTCTGGTTGACCAGGGCACAGCTCTCCTCTTGCTGCCCGAGGAGCTGACTGGCTGAGGCCTGATGCACGCGATCTGCCATCTTCCCCATGGTGGTGGCCAGCACTTCTTCGGTCGCCTCCATGATCACTTTGGAGATGATCTGGAAGGCAGCCTGCTCGATCTCCTCATTTTTATCCAAGGTCTCCTCTTTGCCCAGCTCTCCTAAGACGTCGCCGTCCCAGGCTCTGTCTTGGGGTGCCGGCGCCTCGTCGTCCTTGGCCAGCTCCGTGTGAGCCGATTCCAGGAAGCTGCTCAGCACCTTCCCTGCCGCTTTCCCTTCCTCTCCCCCTCCTCCCAAGGGAGCCAGGCTGGGTGCCTTGCTGCTCTTCAACTCGGAGCCATCTTCCTGGGACAGCACACCCTCTTCCAACACACTGTCTCCCAACACTGCGTCGCCAGTGCCTGCGGCCCCGCCTCTCTCTCTGGCCTTCTCCCCAGAGCTGTGCTTCTCCGTGGGGGCTGCAGACTGACCCTGTCGGTCCCGCCCTGCCTCGCGCTTGCACACCTCAGCTGCTTCGTGGGGGAACGGAATAGCCTTTCGGGATGGAAGAGAACACTCCAGCGGAACAGACTTGGCTTCGTCACCCGCCAGGGCCAGTTCCACCCTTGTGCTGTCGTCTTTGTGTGTTTCTGGTCGAAGTCTCGTGTCCATGGTGTTAGGGAGGCTGCCTGAGGACTCTGATCCACGACAGGCTGGATGTGCCCGCAGCAAGGCTGGGGGCTCGGTGGGAGGCTTGCTCCCAGTGGCCATCTTCTTTTCTGGTGGGTGGGTGACCGTGGTGGGCGTGGCTAAGACTCCGGGACAGGCATCTGCCACAGGAACCAGTTCCTCGACGGCAGGGTCGGCCCTCAGCTCCACGGTGCTGGGCTCCACCGGTTGGTCGTGGCTGCGGACGTGCTCTTTTTTACGAGAGAAAAACCACCACCAGCCAAGAAGCGCCAGCATTCCAGGCAACGCCAACGGGAAAAGCGAACGGAATTGGATGGCCATCCTGGAGGCTTGAAGTAACTGTACCTGGAACCAGAAGAAGACGGGTGCTATGAGAGCCTGGTAAGAGGATCCTGATACGGCTGCACAGGAAAGACAATCAACAGGTGACAGCACAGCTGCTTGCTCGCCCTTTCCCGCCCCCTTGAAGGAGCACCCCACACATACTCATCCCCACAACTCTGGGCGAGCCAGGGGAGGACGGTGGGCAGGAAGAGACACCGCCTTCTGCTCCCTCACCCACACACATGCCCTTGAAACAAGCTGAGCCTTCTCTTGAACAAGTCCCTTCCTCCATCACTTCTCGACGCCACATTCTCCCTGTTCCCCAAGGAGCTAGTTACGTGTAGTGTTTTAGTTCTCTAAATTCCCAGAACACTTATCCACATCCAGGTGGCTTTGGAGCCTTTTTTTTTTTTTTTTTTTTTTGGGGGGGAATTGGGGAAGGGGAACAGCCAAGTTGTTGTCCTTCAATCTTAGTTGTGGAGGGCGCAGCTAGCTCAGCTCCAAGTCCAGTCGCCATCCGTCCGCCGGTCGGCAGCTCGTGGCCGCTCAGCTCAAGGTGCTGAGTTCAGTCTTAGTTGCGGGTGGGCATAGCCCACCACCCCATGCTGGAGTCAAACCGGCAACCTTGTTGTGAGGAGCACACGCTCTCATCAGCTGAGCCATCCTGCCACCTGTTGGCAGCTCAGCTCAGGCACAGCTCACTGGCCCATGTGGGAATCGAAACTGGCGACCCTGTTGCTCAGAGCTCGCGCTCTTAACCAACTGAGCCGCTCGGCCGGCCTTATTGGAGCACTTTTAGTCACCCATGGAATCCACAGGTATATATGTCCCTCACATGTACCCACAAAACCATGCGTCAATGAAATATTAATTACACAGCAATAGAGAGCCAGAACAAAAAATGAATAAGAGTTCAAAAAGGACAGGGCATGCTCTAGGGTGAGGGACCAGCAAAACACACCTAGTGGCATGGAGATACAGGGCATGCTTGGAGAATCAAGTCACTTAACGAGCTCGATGAGGGTCCTGGGACCTCCCTGCAGAGTGTAGACTTATCCTGTAGGCAACAGAGAACCAGCATAGGTCTGCAAGGCATACACACCAAACTATTTTCAGGTGATTCTGGGAGCAGGAGAAACATTATATCGAGTGAAAGGAATCTGGGAACGTCAGTCAAATCCAGGCAAGAAATGAAAAGGGCCTGGGAGAAGAAGGCAGCAGACATGGAAAGGAGACAGGAAACTCAATTTTCTTCATCTGTTAAGATGAAGAACACAAGGAAGACTGGCAGAGGGATTCGTTGAGATATGTAGTAAGTGCTTTGCAGAGCAGGGTCCGCTCTCATTAGAATTATGTGACGGACTTATTCTAGAATGGTTGTATTTGGTGCGGCCATGCCACATTTTATTTTGTATGCAAACATTTAAAACCCCAAATCCTCCACTGACATGGTGAATAAATTACACCTCCGTTTGGGTTTGTGTTTAGTTGCAGAGGTGAATGTAAATGCCTTAACAACGCTTACTGGATTTATTCACATAAATGTTCTCTGGCAAAACCAGAGCCTGCAGCAACCCAAGTGGTCCTGACATTCAGCCAAGGCTGGGAACCACTGCCCTAGGACACTGCTTCTCAAGGCGCCATCCATGGACCAGAGCTCTGAGCATCACCTGGGAAGCTGCCAGAGACAGAGTATCTCAGACCCACTCCAGACCTACTGAATCATAAGCCGCGTTTTAACAAGACCCCCAGAGGATTCACAAGCACATTATGCTTGTGAAGGTGCCAGAAAAAGTGTTCTGCCCCCAAAGTGGGGGGCTGGGGGAATTGGTGGGGAGGAGGTCATGTTCAGAAAAAACTTCCACCTTTAAAGATAAACCTTCCTGGGCCGGCCGAGTGGCGCGATGGTTAAGAACTGGCTTGAGACACCAGAGGGCCCCGGTTCGGATCCCACATATGAGGGCCAGTGACACTGCCCTCTACAGCTAAGATGCTGAACAACAGCTCAACCTGGAGCTGGGCTGCCATGAGTCGCCGGCGACAGCATAGGCTGCAGCCCCTGCTGCAGTGGCTACAGTGGGTTGCCATGGGCTACCGTGTGTAGCCAGCAGCCAGCGTGAGTGGCCAGCAGCCGCTGTGAGCGGCCGTCCAGAGGCCGGCGACTGATCTGCCTCACCTGGGAAGAGCGCAATGATGGTGCCAACTTGGGCCAGTGAAGCAACGTCCTCCACAACTAGACTGAAGAACAAAACGACAGCAACTTGTCTGTTCCCCTTCCCCCAATTCCCCAGCACTGTTCCCATCCCCCCAATTCCCCAATAAAAATCTTTAAAAAAAAAAAAAAAAGATAAACCTTCCTGCTAATATTTGAAGAGGAAGCGATGGGACTGGAAAATACGAAGCAGAACTGAGCAGTGGCCAGGGCCAGGGAGGTTAGTCTTAATCAAAGCTTCGACGCTGCTGCCTTATAACTCCAGATTCAAACATGGAACCTCAGCTAGATACTTTCTCTTACATCATCTAATCCTCGAACACCTGGTTTGAAATGTACTACCATCTCAAGGTTAGAATAACTGAAGGTCATATAGTCAAGGGATTGGACCTCACATTAAATCCGGAATCCACTGATTAATGTGCCCGTGGGGATCTGGCATTGTATGGGGCAAGGAAAGAAGTTTGCACTGCACCTAAAACTTCATAATTAAACACTAAAAAAAACCTATACAGTCAGAGATCTATATAAGAATGCTCACTGGGGTATCATTTGAAACAAAAGTCAGAGGAATCTCTGCTAAATATATCGTAGAATCCATGACACCAGTGTTAGAGAAGTAAGCTGATCTCATGTACTGACATGGAAAAACCGTCATGATACGGACAATAAAAGCTGTAGACCTTCATGTATGTGATGTCTGTGTCCACATAATCCCACAAAAAAACCCTGGGATCTTACCTGCAAAGAGTCTTCCTTCTTCCTTTTGGGAAGAGAGACTTTTTATAGCTTCTCTCTCAGTGCTTCTCCAACTTGGCTGAACATTAGCGCCACTTGGGAAGATTTTAAAAATCCCAGGACAGCACCCAAATCAATTAAATCAGAATCTCTGAGGGTAAGACCCAGGCACCAAGGTTTTAAATCCAGGCGGCTCCCACGTGCAGTCGAGCTGGAAAGGTGCTGTGGGTAACAACTTGCACCCACCCCAAAAGTGGTAGGTTCCGGGCTATTTGCTTTGTGTTCAATGCCTTTCACATACAAATACATAAAATTGTGTGACGGGAAAGAGGCTGGGGGAAGGATGCGGTCAGGATAAGGCAGGATGCCGGAGATCTGTTGCCAGATCTTTTCTTGTCGTAAATTTAGATTCTGATTCCTTATCAACCAGACAATCCCATTTCAGCAGGGTTTATAGCTGTGATTCCCATACTATTTAGCAATTCTCCATCTCAGGTAAAAGATGAAACGGAACAGAACGGGGTAAGGAAGAAAAAGACTCCTATGCCTTAACAATCCAGAGGGGGCAGCCTCCTCATTTTACACACCAAGCGCCCCAGGCCACAAACTCAAATGGGGGTGTCAGTGTGCGTAACTGGAAAGTTGCTTTCCGAGACACATGCTGCCTCTCCAAACAGCTGGGGAAATCCTCTACCCCCACGCCCTTGGAACTAAAAGTTGATCCAAGGGGTCCAGCACTTGACCCCACCCCACTGCTGGAGAGCCCAGAAATGGGCTATGAGGCAGCGGGTCTGGCACTGATCTTTCACCCCAGGAGATCCACACCGCAACCCTGGCCCGCCATGCCACTGGGCTCCCACCACTGCATCTGCTCTGTTCTCAGTCCTAGTTCACGCTGAACAGAACCAGCCAGCCTCCTGGGGCCACGACACGTGCTCCCTGCCTGCTGCTCTGTAGCTCACAGGGACACCACTGCCACTCACCCGCCTCAGCCTCCCAGCCCAGCTGGTTCCCAGAGGCTGAGGCTCTAAGCCCTCACACCCACCATCCACGGCCCCCTCTGGACAGGCAGCTGTAGCTACTCCGCTCGTGACAGCTTAGAAAACTTTCCGCACCATGTCCAAGTCAGATGCCCCTGCTGTTGCGCCTGGAGGGCCTCCCAGAAGGCATTTCATTACTGCTACCCCGAAGCCCTGTCACCCAACCCACAGAATCCTGAGTATGTCCCACCTGGATCCCCAGCCACTGGACTAGAGCTGAGGAACCAGAAGCCAGGTGCCACTGTTCCTCCAGGCAAAGTCTTCCTCTCCACAACTACCTCCAGGGACAGAAACTGCCCTGGGCAGGAAGTGAAGTGCTCCAGGCACTTGAAATAAGAGCTATGAGATGCCCAGATAGGAGGGGATGAAATGGCTTATTTATTGTTTTCCTTGTTACCAGGGGATTGTGATTAGAGATATGAGCCATCTCCCTCAAAAACAGAGCCAGAGGTGGTTGTTCACAGTCTAGCTGGGTTTCACTGGAGGCAGCTCACAGGGAGGTCCGGTGACTGAAGCCACAACTTCCCACCAGTCAAGAAAAGCCCCCCACGTCCTTAGCTCTTCACTTCCAGGAGTCCTCCCACAGCCAATCTCACCTCAAACAGACCTCCTTGGGACCGGGTAAAGTGCCATTTTTCCCTGCTTCCCGTGGTCAAAGAGGCCTGGACAGGTGGTGTAGGATGCAACAGCCTTTCCTGAATTCTCAGCCAGGGCCACCTTCACGTGCACACACACAACTACAGCCTTCCAAGGCTCTCTGCTATCTTCCTTCTCTGAGCAGAGGCTCTTGAGTTGTTCCCTTTGCATTCTTTTTTTTTTTTTTTTAAACGTGACCCTCTCAAAATAGAAGAGGCATTTAACAGTGTGGGTCTAAAAGCCTTCACACTCACAAGCTACTTGAAGGTGTGTCCCCATTCCCTCTCCCTCCTGAGGCCCAGGCCACTCAGGCAGACCTGCCTCCAGTCAGGGAAAAGGAAGCAGAGCCCTGGCCAAGGGTTGGTGGGCAGGAGATTCAGCTATTTTGAATCTGTTGGAATGAAATAGCTGCCTGCTTATTTTTAGCAGGTCCATTTACCCGCAAATAGATGCAGGCTGGCTGGCTGCCCAGTGGTCACACAGAGCTGAAGGCAGGCACGTGTCACAGCCCACACGGCCTCAGAGCCCACCTGCTCAGTCCAGGTTCTAAACGGGTGCCTTCTTGCTCCCAGAGGAACCTGCAGCTTCTCAGCACAGCTTACCTCTGGAGAAGTAATGACCTCACTCCCAACCCCAAAGGCCAGCCCAGTCACTGCAATTGAGAGCCTTCTGCTAAACAAGAAAAGAAATCTCCGGGAATGTACAGAGTGTTGGTCCCAGTGACTCAGCCCATTTGGCTGCAGTTATTGTGGAAAAAGAGCTGCATGTAATCAACTGATGGGAAAGTCCATCATAAAAACAAGAGCTTAGGTGCCAAGAGCCTAAAAGTCCAGTCTAGGCTTGGGCCTGGTCAGTGAAGTCACATCCACTCCGTGTTCTGAATGGACTCTGACATACCCTCTAAGTTGAAATTTGAACTTTCTTTCATTATTCCAGGGTTACATGTTCCCACTGCCAAAGACTTTCCCTGGTGTTCACCCCCTGGAGGAGGCTCATGACACTCCATCCCTATAGTGACCTGCACAGCAAGTTCTTGCTGAGGGGGTGCTTTTCCCGTGAAGGGGGGGTCTCCGAAGGACACGGAATAATCCAGAACCTAAAGCCCAGCACTTGCTGCCACTGCGTTCAGAGAATCACAGCAGGTTGTGGGCAGGCCAAGGCTCCCTTCCTCCCACCCGCAACCCCAATCCCAATCCCAAGATGGGGGGAAGACCACAGGAGTGTCTCTTTGTTTGTACACGATGCATTTACCTAATTCCTCATCTGGGTGAGGTTATGCACCTACATTCAAATGTGTGTAAGTTTCTGCAAGACAAAGCTATGTCCACCAGAAGCTCACAACCCAGATGGAAGAGTCAGTCTCTCTCCCTCTCTCTCAGGCACACCAGCGTCACCCTCAGCCTGATTTCAGGCCTAGGCAAGGAGAACCCAAGGAAGGCTGTCTCAAAGTCGGCCAGGATTTCCGTAGGTTGCCATGGTGGGTTAATGACATAACTTAAGGTTTTAAACCTGAGGTGTCTTTGGGGATGAGACGGGGCAGCCAGTCCCAGAGGAGAATGAAACAAGTCCTGGGAGCAGAGACTAAAGAGCTGGCAGGGGGCCAGACAAAAGGAATCTGACCTTTACTGTCAAGGCCATGAGCAGCTGAGACATGGCCAAAGCAGAGGGGGTCACAAGAGGCAAAGGCCTGGGTGATCCCCAAGTGGCGACTGCAGCCCAATCTTGGCAGCCATTTAGTCACAGGGAGCTACCGAGCACCTGAAATGTGACCAGTGCGACCGAGGAAATGAATTTTAAATTGTATTTAATGTTAATTTAATTTAAATAGCCACGTACAGCTGGTGGACAGCACAGTTCTAGAGGGCATCCAGGAGATCAGAAGGCAACACAAGAAAGAGCTGGATACTTACACCATATACAAGAACAAATT